TTTCAGCTTAAATTTCCTGTACACCCACATCATCAATTATACTTATCCATGCATTACATACACAAATACTTTTCCTCTTACGTGATATGCCCTTCCAGTGACCATTGCCACAGTTTCTGGATCCATATCTCTGGCATGTTTATGTTCCAACTACATTACTATAAACAACTTAAATTTGATAACTATTTGATAACTCATCAGTTAGTTACCTCCGCTTGCAGCATACACAGCATGATGGTCACAATAGTAGCAGTCAACTGTGCTAGTGCTAGTGACAGTGAAAATGACTTTTAACGGTGATCCAGTATGCATCCTGCAGAATGTATTGTCTTCTTGTTCTAGGGTGCCATAATGTGGCTCACTTACTCCACAATTTGTATATGCATCCAATCAAAACAGTGACCTCTACTCACTTCCGGGGGAAATAATGCTGTGGAATCTGTAAATTGTTCTACTATTAATTCTGTACCCTGAACTAGACTGCCAAAATCGACATGCCTCAAAAAGCCAATTGTTTAAGTATGTATGGTCTGCCTCCAAATTATGGAAAAATTAATAGTTCTGAAAACCAACCCACATGATCATATAACTTAGACCCAATGCAAAGTGCAAACAGAACCTTAAACATCACAATAAACCAGTGTAGGAAATTCCTGCCCGTCAGCACGCCCGAGACGGGCAACTTTCGTATCGGACTGGTAGAATTTTAAACTTTCTTGTCCGGTAGTCGGGTAACATTTGACCACATTCTTCCGCCGAAATTAAAATAAAAACAAGCTACCATTCTGTATATGTGCTCTAAACATTTTAAACAGAAACATGATTAGCAATGAAACAATGAAAATTGCGCATTGCTGTCACATATCGCGACTGGCCGACACGCATTCTCAACCCACAACACAGAATCCATTGACTTATTAACTTAGTAATAGGTATATGACGTCGGGTCAGGTCAGGTCCTATCTCCCATGGTGCAGTGAGACTTCTGGTGACCCCTAACCAGTTCTATCGTTGTGTAATTTGTTTACAAAGTTTTTTTTTCGTGTACGTGTTTTTTGGGGGATAGACCCTCCAACAAAGAAACAGAAGTTAAGCATCGATGGAATTGCCGCAAATAAGGAGTATGGCAGCTCAAAACGTACATGTGAAATCGTTCTAAACTGGAAGACCAAGTTCAAAAAATGGCTGGTCACTGATGACACTGGCAATCATACAGGGTATTGCCGTATCTGTCGGGCTATTTATGAGCCGTTATCAAACCGCAAAATACCAGACAAACTCCGTAAGTACGGAAAGGGATGTACCAACTTAAAACATGATGCCCTTACATGCCATGAAATGTCAATTGGTCATAAACAAGCCAAATCGATATTCGAAGCAAAGAATGCTCCACCACCAAAGTAACTTCCTGCTGATAGAATCATCGAAATGTTGAATGGTAAAAGTGTTGACAGGTTAGACAAGCTATTCCGAGGCTGTAACAGATGGTAATGCTCATTTGGTAGCTGGATTAGATTCTGACTATGGTTCAGATTTTTCTGATCTAGCTGAGAGCAACAGTGACATAGACGTCTGAGATACACCATGTTCTGAATATGCATGTTCTCTACAGATACTAAAATAAACCGTGCATAGTATATTGTATACAACTTGTGTTTATTTGTGTGTGTGTGTGTGTGTGTGTGTGTGTGTGTGTGTGTGTGTGTGTGTGTGTGTGTGTGTGTGTGTGTGTGTGTGTGTGTGTGCAAATAATTGTAAAAATGTGCGGGACTGGACTTTTGAAAGTTACCAGCCCTGATGTCTGGTATGTAATCTGGACAAATTTCCTACACTACAATAAACACAATGTTGTAGCTGATTTCTGTGGCCTGATTTGTATATCATTTTCATGCTTGTTATTCTGATTATTTATATCTAGGTGCAGCCTCACAGTCCACAGTTTCCTAGTCATCAAAGGCATGATAACCTTCTTGCACAGCAAAGGCAAGATATAATGAATCGAACTTCTGAAACAGAAGAATATCCTGCCACTATAACTCTATTAGATGAGGAGGAACAACCACATCACAGTAGTGTTAATTTACATTTACACACTCTGGATTATGATGAGGTGTGTCGAGGGGGCATACGTGCCCCACCTAATAGGATTGCTTTCGAAACTGAACTGCAACATTCTTTAATACATCAAGAGCAAGTACAAAAATTTCAATTTTATTCAACTTATCCAACTTCAAGAGCACATTCATGGGACCGACGGCGACTGCAAACGCAGCGACGAAGTAGTCCTATTATTGACAGTATCACAAGAGCACCAGTATCGATTGTGGACTCTGATCTTGAGGAGCCACCGCCATATTCTTGTGCAACTCAGTTGACAAACAATAACTTGCCAGAAAACTACAGTCTTCAGCAAGAGCCCCCAACATACCAAGAAGTTGTAACACTTGATGCAACGTCATATCAAAACCAAGAGGCGAATGCAAGTAACTCTGGGGATAAAGTGGTATGACATCAAAATTGGTGTAATCTTACTGCTTTTCAAATCTTCATTGTTCTCCCATTTTTTCTGGTGCTAAGCTTACATAGTAGAGGGCTGGAGTTTAGCAGTGAGGATCTATTTATTTATTTTTCATCAAACTAAGGAGCCTGTATCCTAATATGTAAATCTTGTACCTGTGATCCAAAGTTAGATGAATACAGACACTATAGATGTCCTGTATTTTATGTCTAGCCATTGCTTGGTATTCATTTACAGGTCTCATTTGCATATTAGTTAATAAGTCTTGTCAAACATGTGCTGATTTCAAGCCCAGATAGTCGCAGCATTAAAAGTTAAACTATGTATGAATAGATACAGTACTACATGTGAAACATGTAGACTTACTTACAGATCATGCTCTCTGCATTCAAGTATTTACTGTGTTTAGTAACTTGCATTATGTGAACTACCTGATGATGGTGGGAAAAATTCTTTAAAATCTGCTTGTGTGTTTGTTTGTTTCTTTTCCACTAAAAAGAAATCCACTTTTTATGTGCAGTTAAAGCAAAGCTCAGTGCCTTTATAATGAAGATGTATATCTGCTTAGCAAAACCTTTCACACCTTTCTCTGCATTTCATTACTTATTCAGTTTACAAGACATTCTGGCAATAGATTCGCTGCAAGTGCCTAGTTTTTTCTTCTTCTTTTCAATAATAATCTGAAGTTTATTGGTTATAAACCATAAGTATCTTTTCCTTAATGTAAATTAAATATTGATAGTAAACCAACTACAGTGAAACAGCCAAATTTGCTTTTAGCATCTGCCCACACACTAGTCAGTTTGTCTGTGTACCAGGATGTTTATGCAAATCTCCTAGTCCTAACCCATGTAACCTGAAATATTTATACTCAGATTATTTGTTTTAATGTGTTTGATTAATTTCATAATTGAAAGTACAATTGTTAAACCTAACAAGTGCCAAAGCAGATAATTTGTCTCCTTCGGATCTAATACTTTTCCTAATTTAAATATGTATTGCTTATTTTTTTATAAATAGTATAATTGAATTTGTATATATATTTTGCCAACAAGAAAGTTGTAAAATACTACTAGAGGCTTCTTATCGTGTTTTAGCCGTATTTATATATTGAAAGTACCATGAAATGCAGAGATTGGTTTGTTAGTCATGCTTATAATTGATGTATTTCCCCCACAAAAATGAGGTCTGAAACACCAGTTGTTCATAAGACCTGGTGGTGATGTGATGACTATTTTTTGGCCTTCTCCTCTGTATATACATAGTAATGCTAAACTGAATCACTTCAACCACCATCAAATACAGAGTTTGACTCTGAAGATGGTAATTACATACAGCACAAGAAGTCTCTGTATGAAGCTTCAAGTATTGGGTGTGCCTCCCCCAGCCAATAATTTAACTCAAATTTTATAATCAATTATTGGATGTGTGTTCACTTTACATTCAACTCTCATTGTCACTAAAAATAATTTTGCATCAATAATTCAGTATTTACCATAATACGTTTTGTTGGAAATGTATTCACTAGCCACATAAAATAGAGGTGGTCTAATGAATTTCTATAAAAGGGGAGATATTAGGGGGTGTTAATACCACTTACAAATTTGTCTATGGTGGTATGAATGTGCCTCAAAAACTGATTCATTATGATCAAAAAGTCGTACATGCACTTTACTTTATTAGTATGGATGGCAACATGTAATTTGCAATCAATTTATGGAAAGCTTGGTATATACTACAGTCTCTATGTGGATGTACTTTGATTAAACCTAATATTGATAAAATGCTATCCACACCATATTGATTCTATTCAAAGGTTATCTTCAATAGAGGTATACGCAAGACACAAACATTTCTTTTTGTGCGCTTTAAATTACACCAAGTTGTAAATGACATGTACAATGCATCCAGTTTGAAATAACTTTTTACTTAAATGCATGTTCTTCTAATAGTTCAAATATGGCACCTATTCTTTGAAGCTGTACAGTACAGCACTGTAGCTCGACAGTCTCATAACAAAGTTGACTTCGTTCATAAAATGATGCTACCAATTTTAATAGCAGTAAATATTGTATATAAAATATTTATCACTAAGTGTGCTCATAGGCAATGCCTAACCACCTTATCAGTCAAACATGTATTTGTATGCATTACATTTTATGCTTGTCCCAGATGTTGCTTTGTTTTACAAAGGAGTGTAAAGTTGAGACAAGTCAGTAGTGCTGTGTAAAGCATGTAAATACACTTAAGGTTGATCCATACAGGAATTTTCCCATTGATTTGCAGGTTGGATTCAACTTTATTAATAATTATGTAAAGATGAAAGTAATGGGATAGTTTGCCGATTATAAAACCTAGACCAAAATTCAACACAACGAATAATTGCGCAAACTGTGAAAATGAAACTGTGTTGATCAACCTTAATAGCATAGATGGACACCCAGTATGACACAGGTATTTTGGTCTGTTATCCATGTGGAGCTATAGATTATAAGTTGTATTTGCCTTTGTGTTATAAACTAATGAAATCTGACTTCAGCTATCTAAAGCAACTGACCATCACTTCAACTTCTCTGGCAGTAATGCACGCTATTTGTTTTATGTAGCAAGCTGTATTTTATGGTCCAACAGCATATTTGATATCTTTAGTAGTCTCACTCAGCCTGCTCTTGTGTCAATGGTTTTCAAAATATTGACCAACATTTCTGGGCTTACAGTTTATTATTCCGAAAATTTAAATTAATCTTGTTAAGTTTATGGATGATGACATATGAAATATGTTGAGAGAATATTATGTATACACTCTTCACTTCCCTCTCCTATCTACCATTTTGGTTTGAAAGTTACCTGGATTCAAATAGACAAATTATTATTTTCAGATATTTAACTTGCAGAAAATAAGTGTGGAGTGGTCTGAATATGTTGGATTGTGGTATGAACTGAATTTATACAGTCTGTGCATTGCCTGCTATACATTATTGTGGTTGGCGAGCATGGCTGTTAACAGGACTGTGTCAGTGTGCAGACTAGTTCCTTACAAACATGGGCATTATATTTGTATCTTCTAATTAAGCTTTTGACAAATCATTTATTCATACAATGATCTTTTTTGGTTTTGGAACTCTATTTATTAGGACATCCTGTGGTCTAGACAACAGTGCCCTCTCAGTCAGTAGATTGTTTCATTTTGTTTTTACCAAAATTATACCAAAGACATTTTTTTTAATGTGAAACCATTTGCTGTGATACTTTTTTGCATTGTAAATTTTGTTTTATCACATCAGAAATTGAGATATTTGACAGTTAATCTATGTTATTTATTCAGAATATGCTTTTAAGGTGGCTGCAAACCAACTTTCATGTGCAATTAAGTTGTTGGGATATTTAGTAAACATGCTATATTTAATATAAAGCTTGTCATAGAATGGCAAATCCCATGTATTGAAAGTCTTCTTAGAAAACTTTCCTGATTTGTATACATACAAGATGATTGCACCCAAAACTGATATTTAAAATTCCTGCAAAGAAATCATTTTATGGTTTATGGTATAGAATATTTTGTGTACATCGCTAATATTTATAATTACAGTTGATTAAGGAGTAGCATTGGTTATGAACAGTTGTACAATGAACAGGCTGATAAGAGTATTACATTGGAAGTGTTACATTATTGCATAATCAAGCGATAGAAAGTACACTGGACAAACCAGCATCTTTGTTCTGAAAGTGCACAAGTATCTTAAAGACACAATGTGATATTTTATCTATTAGATAAGAACAATAAGGGGTGATTGATTTATTTTTGAATAAAAAAAAGTTGTTCTGGTGACAAACATCACATTGGTTGACTGATGTAATGAAAACTGTTATGCATGTGTGCTCTATTTCAAATCGTACACATACTGGCCTTTTCATTATTTTGGTGAACTCCGTTTTCTGCCATAGCATTGTTTTTTTTTTATTTGACAATAAATCATACCCTACTGTTTTGGTTGTACAAGATAATGCAGGCTATCCACACTGCCTTTATAATGACTTATCTGACAGAAAATGCCAACAGATGGTGTTTTAGCATTGACTGTATTTCAGACTTTGTAGTTAGTTGTAGCTGCACTGTATCATGATATACAGGGTCTGATCACAGGATGTTATTTATATAAACTGAGATAGCTGCACATACACAGACGTTATGCATGGTTCTGTGAACAAACATAATGAGCTGTATATTTGGCATATTTATCATGTATGGATATTAGTGCCTACTAAACATTTACGTTCAGAAACCAAAAATCAACCATGCAGTTTTCTTTATTATTAATTATATTAATAAGAATTGAATACATATTATAATAAGTGTGTCATCCCCCAAACAAGGTGGCAAATTAGGCGAGGCATTGCACAAGATTTAGAAAGGGAAATTCTAATTGATTAGGGTGAAATCTGTGAAAGGAAACCCTATCATAAATTGGCCAATTCCTTGAATAATATTTATTTTTTACCTTTTGATTACAAACCTAATTGGCCTATTTAATGTCTACTCTGTCAAACTTCAGTATTACTCCATACCTTACCAGTCATTCCTTGAGCTTTATACAGCTCCCACGACAAATATGGAGGGAGGGGTGGAGGGCATCTTTGAAAAGTGTATTTACCTTTTTCCTATTAAATAAAATTTAAAAAGGCTGAGTATTCCAAAATATTAGGGTTCAACCCCGGCCTCTAAACTACTATGGCTTTGGTACTACTTAAATATTTGTTGTGTATTTATGCAGCTATTATTGTACAGCTCTTTCAATCTTGGATTCTGATTAAGCTGTGTATTATTTTTTTTTTTTTATTTAAAAGTTTATTTGAAAACTTATATGGGAAAAAACTTCCATGTACAAAAACCAGTTTTCCATTCAATAAATTATGATTGTGTTAACTGAATTTTCCACCACCATTCAAAATGTAAATGGGTGTGACTCAAGCATAGCTTATATTATTAAGAT